TACAAAGTGACTTTTTTACTAGTATTTACTAGTTTATTTTAGCGTATTTTATAGATATAGCCGTATCTTTACGAAATAAATAGGTAAAAATCTGGGATTTGTTTCATGATATTGGCTATTTAGTTATTTAAATATTAAGACTTTTTCGAAATTTATCCGGGCTATATTGGGAAAGTTATTAGGGTTGAAAGGTGTTGAGATTACAGGGGATAAAAGCCACTAAAAAAAGCGCTGGAACAGCCACTATAGTTAAAATGTATACTTTTAGCCGCATCCGGGTCAATATTGGTCCGAATCACGTGCACCCTGGATTGGAATTTTGCTGGTTTCTTTATCTAAATTATGGTATATATTATATATAAATCGGACCAGAATTCGTAAAGTTATTAAAGGTTGACTGCGAAAAGCGATTTTACGTTACCCGGTACGTACCCCGTTTTACTGCACGGGTAGTAATGGGCATACTACACGATTAATGTTACTTAATTTAAAATATATAAATTTAATTAATAAATTTAATAAAAAAGTTAATATAATTATTTAATTAATTAATATTTATTATAAAAATATATTAATATTATTATTTTTAATAATATTTTTAATAATATTTTTTATTATAAATTAATTTTTTAATAAACGGTTATTTATAATAATTTTAAATTAAAATTTTAATATTATTTTAAAAAATTATAATTATTTAAAAATTATATAATTATAAAAAATATATTTATTTAAATTAATATTAAAACTTAATTTAAAATCATTTAAAATAATTAAAAATATAATTTAATAATAAATATATTTTATTTTTATTTTTTTAAAAAAATAAATTATTATTTATATTATAAATTTATATTTTTTATAATATTATAAAAAATATTAATTATATAAAAAATAAAAATTTTATAAATAAAAAATTTAAATTATAATAAAATTTTAAAATTTTTTAAAAATTATATATTAATATAAAATTATAATTTATTATAAATTAAATATAAATTATATAAAAAAATAATATTAATATTATAAAACAACATTAATTGTGTAATATACTTATTATTACCCGTATAATATACGGGGTATAATCCCGGGTAACTTAAAATCGTTTTTTATATTTAACCTTTAATAATTTTACGAATTTTAATTTAATTTATATATAATTTATATTATAATTTAAGTAAAGAAATGGTAAAAATTACGGTTTACGGTGCACGTAATTTAAACTAATATTAATTTAAATACGGTTAAAAGTATAAATTTTAATTATAATGGCTATTTTAAAGCTTTTTTTAATGGCTTTTATCTTTTATAATCTTTATACCTTTCATTTTTAATAACTTTATTAATATAACCTTAAAAAATCTCGGAAAAGTTTTAATATTTAAATAATTAAATAAATAATATTATAAAATAAATCTTAAATTTCTACCTATTTATTTTGTAAAAATACGGTTATATTTATAAAATACGTTAAAATAAATTAATAAAAATTATTAAAAATATCATTTTATATATATAAAAGTTTATTTTTTTAATATCTTAATTAATTTAGCCTTAAATCACGTGTAATTTAAACTGTAATTTTATTAATTCTTTTATTTAAATTTTAATATAATTTATATAAAGTTCGAATAAAAATTTATAAAGTTATTATAATAAATATAAAAAAGGTGAAAAAAAAACCGGGTACGTACCCCGTTTTATTACACGGGTAATAATAAACATATTATACGATTAATGTTATTTATATTATATATATTATTATAATAAAATCTTTAAATATTTATTATAATAATAACTTTTTTAATTTTATTAATTTAATATAAAATTTTTATTTTTATTTATTTATTTTATAAAAATTTAATTATATTTAATTTATTATTAAAATTAATAAAAATTAAAAAAACATTATTATATATATATTAATATTAATATTAAATTAAATTACGTATAATTTAATTAAATTATTAAAATAAACGTTATAAACGTAAAAAAAAGTTTTAAATATATACTTTTTTTATTACGCATTTAATAAAAGGTATATTACTTAATTACCGTTACTTTTTTTTATAACACTTTTAATAACACTTTTTTTACATTACCTTTTTTTTACAATAATCTTTACCGCTGTTAAAATGTTCTCTTATTTTATTGCATTCCTTGCTTTTATTACGCAAGCGGCCTCTTTTAATTCCATAAGACCATTTGCACTTCACATTACAGGAGGCAACCCCATTGGCTTGCACAATAGCCCTGAGTTTACGAACAAAGCCAGGCTGCCAGGCCAGGCCAACCGATTGATTTGATTGGTTGAATCCCTAATGTGGCCGCCCTGCCTCGCCGCGCTGGGGGTCACGGGCGCTCGGCACGTGCTTCGCACGTGCCTCGCACCCGTGACCCCGCGCGGCTCGGCGGGCGGCCACACAACCCCGTAGCCACACACAACCCCCCCTAGCCACACACAACCCCCCCTAGCCACATACAACCCCCCCTAGCCACGGTTCGAATCCTCGACCTCGCATCCCTTCCTTTCTTTTACGCATTACTGCGTAAGCAAAAGCGCCGCGCTTTTGCCTGCTACGTAAGCGGATCAAGCTCGAAACGCTTCGTTGACCCCTTATTAGCGTTGCTGCGGCCGAAAGCCGCAACAACGCCAGGCCAGGAGCCTTATGGCTGATTACGTAGCTGTGGCAGGTTGTGTGGCCGTGGCTGTAGCCAATCCAATTGCCAGGCCAAGCTTGCTGTGGCTAGTCACGTGGCTGAGGCAGGTTGTGTGGCCGTAGCTGTGGCTAGTCCAATTGCCAGGATTACATAAGCAGCTTTCGTCGAAATCTCGACCAAACCCCACTTTATTTCAGGATGCACCCAATCAAATCTCGAGGAAAATCCACTTCATTGAACGAGGCATCCAATTAAATCTCGGCCAAAATCCACTTTATTGAACGAGGCATCCAATCAACACATGAAAAAATGACCAGGGCACTTCCATTTCTAGTAGTCTTATTTTCCTATTTGGGCCAAATAGGAAGGTGATGTGGGTCCCCAGCGAAAAAAAAAATGCGACACAATAACCCTTCGTAAACTCAGGGCACAAGCAAGTCGAACTCATCGATCGATGGTATTTTAACTCTTTACTCTTTCGATTTCGTCGTCTTGTCAACTTGATCGCTAAATTATTTCATAGGATATGCTGCAGCATGCCATGCTGGTGCGGCCATAGAAGGCCTTTGCTACTCATCTGGTGCTGGCGGGAGCGTAACTGAATTCTACTTTAATTACACTTCCTACAATTCGGACACGGGAGTCCCCTCGCAACCTGGCTGGATCACGTACTTGTTGAAGGCGGGCAGCAATAACGGTACTATTACTGTCCCTTCCTCATTGCGTCTCGAACCGAGCTTCGGAAGCAACGTTTACACAGCTCTTATCTATCCTGGCGTTGAGGATGGCACCTCTGTTTACTTCCATCCGAACAACGGCACATTTTATATGAACGGGGGCTACGACGACTCAAACTTCAACTCGACGTATCCTAGCCCGCCTCAATCTTTAGGCAATCTTACAAATTTCCATTTATGCTATCAATTCACTGGCGGTTACTACTACCAGTCAATTGCGTGGGTATCTACACAGCCGCCACATAATCCGTCATGTCAGCCTGTCAACCTAAGCCTAGAGGAACTTTCGTAGGAGGTTTAGAGAGCCGAACAAAGCATCAAAATTCGAGAGGCGGGGGCTGCGGGGAAAAGCTGTGTTGTTTACTTTCCTTATTCGAATCTCTAAAGAATTTATGTAGTAATATGACGTCTCTTATCCAAAGGTCAATAAGATCTGGATCCAGTCCTTTGGTTAACCATCGCTTAAGCTGTTAAGCTAGAACCTTAAGCCACATTGTGGCTGTACAATACGGAATACCTTAGCGTCAGATGGGGGGTAGTGGTAGCTGCATATATACCGCTTATTAAATCAAGCCGTACTTATCCCACTCAATTCAATAAGCGGCTCCCGATTCTTACGTTTAAAGAGTTAAGTGACTCAAATATTTAAGTGGTAATATTACCGCTTACGGTTTAAACGCTCCAAATATTTGTGGCGCTAGGCCAAGATGAGCCGTACTAGCACGGCTCCAGCCAATGAACCGCGCAGGCTCCGCTTACATCAGCGCGCAGCTCCCGATTTAAGCTGCTCGACCAATGAGCGGCTATTGCGCCGCTCGCATCTCTGCGCCGCTCCCGTTTTGAGCCGCTCCCCCATTGCGAGCAACTCCCCCGTTTTGAGTGGTACGTACGGGGTATTATTACATATACCCGGGCTGCACAGACCAGGTTATACCCCATAATTGCAAGTCCACACGCGTGCCCGTAATATGTAACGTAATGTGCCCTGTGGTTTATTTGAAAAACACGTAACCTTCCAATTAAATCATTTAAATTTAAAAAAACACGTAACCTTCCAATTAAATCATTTAAATTTAAATCAATTACTGTAACCAGTAACCCGTAGCCCGTAATCTCAACTGCAATGCATATAAGTAGATTCCCATACAAAAACGTATGGGAATATACCTTTTACTTTTTACATATATGTACTTACCCGGAGCGGTGCACGTGCCGCTCCCTGGTGGGAGCCGCTCAAAACGGGAGCGGCGCAGAGATGCGAGCGGCGCAAAAAGTGTGAGAGGCGCACGAGCCGCTCATTGGTCGAGTGGCTCACAGTGCAAGAGCGGCGCACCTGTTGTACCACTCAAAAAATATTGATTGGCTCCTAGCGCTGATGCGTATGAATTTGGTGAGCTTCACGTTTTTCCCTAACATCTGGGAGCGGCTCATACCTGGGAGCCGTATGTATACTGTATATTTACGGCTACTACTACCCCCCATCTGACGCTAAGGTACCATTTCACAGATAGGTAACTAATGGCACTGTATATGCACTGTACTATCCAAGGATGTTGATATATGACCACTCATTTACAAAGCTATGACGTTAATTGCAAGCATGGTCATTTAGGGACACACAGAGCGCGTCGCGTTTTATTCGCTATTTAAACGTCCTAAAATTTAGATTAGGTAACTATGCGGTGTAGAACTTGACTTCTATATATTATTTTATACCTCATACCTAATACCAAAAGACCTTCAGTTCTGTTATAATTGTATATTATTCCTGATACGATGCCTCCCAAACGCCCTGCAGCTAGCGCTGGTACTTCCAGTAAGAAAGCTAAGACATCGAGTGATGAGCCGCCGAAAAGCAAGCGATGGTCCGCCGTGTCTGGCTCTGCTAATGCCGATGCCAGTTACAAAAAGATCTGGGAGAAGCCCGACAAATGGTATTCGTATGTAACTATGTGCCCGCCAGTACCGGACGATGACGATGACGAGGACGGGGACGAGGACGAGGAAGAGGAAGAAGAGGACAAGGACGATGAGGACCACACCGACGACGAAAGCAGGGATGGGCCCAGATGCGGCCGAAAGGGTTGTATATGTTCCAGACCAGCCGGGGAGAATCCAGATCACCCGTGGGTCGTGAGCCGGGCTGGCTACCGGAAATATTCCACTCAGCACATCCATTTCTCATTGCGTAACCCCGATTTCTTCCAAATGTACACTTACAATGACCATGCTGGCTACGGATGTCTTCAGGTTGTCCAGAATTTGGTTTTAGATTATGTCGAGGCAGTAGAGCGTGGCTGGAAAGAGCAATGGGCTGTGTGTGAAGGTCTCGGCCTTTGGTTACTGTGCCCATCTAGCGGTATCATGATGATGTAAGAGCCCGCCCGCTTATATCTCCGTTTCAATGATTCTCTGCTAACGCTATTTTCATCTCGTCAGGATCGATGATGGCGAATGTGTCGACCAAACTATGCGTCTCGTCGGCCTTATGTTTCTAGATATGCTGGCACAACTTGATGGCCTAAATCTAGTTGGCGACGCTACCGACGTTAAAAGCTTGGGCACCATCATGGCCATATACTTGAAGATTGCTTCAGATGTGCGCTCAATTGGTGGTATCCTTGAGGAAGACAACGATGAGGGAGGTCGTAAAACGAAATTTCAGGCCAACCACTTTGATGATGCCATTCTTTCATACGCCACTCAGCGAGGCGTTACATTGCAGGGCCCTAGTGATATCGACGAAATCACTGCACGACTAAATGGAGAAGTAGAGTTGCCTAAGAAGAACGCAAAGGATCCATGGGGCTTCAAAGCCGCATTGAAGATATATGAGAAACACTACGGCAAAGGGAAGCCCCGCGCTATCGGTGGCGATGATCTAGATATCACGACTGTATGTTACACTTCGAAGTCTTTGTTCTCCCCATGCCTCTTTGGCCCGTGTCGGGAAGTAGACCTTTTCAATTCGAGTGAATTGAGAAGTAATGTTTTTCGGGACGCGGGTGAAACTTGTCGACAATAATACCTAAAGTAGCTGCTAACTCTCATCAAAGTGGACCAGCTCTCAGCGTAAGGAGGCACATTTTGACCACAAGGACCCGTTAGGCAAGCGAGAGATCGATGCGCTTAAAAAGGGGATGGTGATGCAACTTGGGTGATCTCGTCATATCCATGGTTGGAGTTTTTATTCTGAAATCGAGGAGTTAGTGAAATATGTGGGTTAGTAATACGTTAACTATGGATGTTGCTATAAATCAGTTTGGGCTGCCCTGTCTCTAATGGTAGTAATGTAGTATATGTTTTGTTTTAAGTCATTGTTAAGTTGATCACATCATGTCGAGCTTACATGCATGATGTAGCCTTCGTAAGAGGGTGGTAAAAGATATTCTTGATGCAGCACTATGTTTGATGTTTGTTGTTCCGCGTTTCTATTACCTGATGACCGTTGCATGCTTATACGTAGCTACTTAGTCTACGTTATTCTTGAATGTTTAGTTTCTTGTCTAATCGCCTAAGTCCATTGCATTGGAATAAGCTCCAGGTTGAATCCGGACTTGTTTGATTGGCTGATCGGCGGTTGCGGCCGATCGAGCTAAAATAAACTTCGATTGTTTGATCAGCGAGACATCCCGGGTGTACCTTTGTTGCACGGAAGGAAGGTGAGAGTTGCTGTTGGGGTTTCACCACCAACCCGCTTCGGCACTTGTCCGAACCTTCCCTGTCCTCTCAAGCTCCGCTAAGCCGGCGCAACTCTGCAAGTGGTTGCAAGTAGCTAAAACCATCTGTGATTTATACGCGTATGCGCACGTCGGAACCGAAAATGTCATGTTATCAAAATGTCGGAGACGCACCGGCATCTAGATGTAGATTGTGGGAACCCCCCTAACACTGTACTCCATCGTATGTGAAAGTCACGCTCACATACAATGGGCATATATCTTAATCGTCTTGAAATACATCATGAGCTTGGATTTGGTATGAGACGGGCTTAGAATAGGGTACTATTACAAGTGCTTATCCACGCACCTGTATATATGTAGTGTATATTTTCGCATATAGCTAATGAGCTGGTCCATTTTAGACGGGATGATGAATAATCACTTTTGAATTATAGACCTTATCCAGCGGCCTAGTTGCAGATATGCGGTCTCTTGATTAGATGTGAATACAGATTAGAGGATTTCGTACATTACCATTGCAGGAGTTCAGGATCATCACCCATGCTGGTACAACGCTCTCCTCATACACCATCACGCCGCTGTGTTCATGACACTCTAACCTGAAGCATGGTTTCCAAATCCGATTTTTCACTTGTGTAGATATTAACACCGAAGAACCCCTAAATTAAATAGTAGTATCCTTTAAGATCCCTCCATGTGGTCGGGAAACAGAACCAGGCCAGCCTTTTTCACTAGATGGCAGAGACTGAACCCGCCTCCCCGGGCGACACATTCACACCTGGTGCCGGCCACTGGGTGGACGCCGTCATATGGGCACTCATTAGCCTCTCTACCGTCTTCCTGGGACTTCGAGTATTCTACAAATCCAAGCGAGGCCGAGGACTCTGGTGGGATGATTGGGTTTTGATATCATCATGGGTTAGTAGTTGACCTCGTTAATACTTAAGCTATATCTTGACTCACTCATCATTGTGATCACTCTAGATTATCCTTATTGCTTCGGGAGCACTTATAAGCCTCTGTGTATCGGCAGTCTTCATTAAACGTGATCAAGATAACGGACTGGGCGCTCACGATGTTGGTATGCTGAGTACGATTGTAAGCGATTTTACCCCTTCACTCCACCTTAACCCCTTTACTCTTTTCTTGTATAGCCGGCCGCAAATCTGCCCTCTAAAGTCTCTATTTTCATATATAACCAAGTGTTGACTAGAAATTGAATGACGGAATAGGCGGGGACCTTATTCTTCGTTTCGGCAATATGGAGCAAGACTTCCTTTGCTATAACGCTCATTAGGATCGCGGGTCCTCGGTTAAAGATCGCACTTCGCATGATTATGATATCTATGAACATGGTTACCTGTGTCAGCTTGATACTCCGATGGGTACAGTGCCGGCCAGCGAGGATGATATGGGACTCCCATGCTACCGGAGTTTGTTGGAATAGGAACCTTATCCTTGCGTTCACCATTTTTGCTGCTGGTATGTACACGGCAATAATATAGTAACGAATGATTACTGACCAGTACTAGCATACTCCGCATTCATGGACTTCGTCCTGGCTGCTCTTCCATGGCCCATTATAATAAAATTGCAGATACGGACCAGTGAGAAAGTTGGTGTTTCTATTGCTATGAGTATGGGTCTTTGGTATGTTGAATGCTTCTGGTTAAAACAACGCTCTTGTCCATCCTCTTACATAGTAGCACAGCGCGGGTATAACGTCAATCGTCAAATGCACCAAATTCAGCGTTCTACGGAGTGATGACTTTGGCGGTAAGTAAAAGCGTTTGATTCCAGTGAGCGGAATGGTACTAACATAGATGATACGTCTAGATAATGTCTTTGAACTCGCAATATGGTCCGTAGCGGAAATCGCTACTACAATAATGGCAGCATCGATCCCTGTGCTTCGTTGTGCACTGATGCGTGAGGCAGCGGGTTCCGCTCACTTGGGCTATCCCGTTACATTTATTAGAGACCGTTCCCGAAAGGTGGTAAGTAGGGTACGAAGCAACCATGTCTCGTTCTCCGCATCGAGACGCTCTAGAATGGTGAAGTCGCCTGACGGTATTATGTACGAGGAAAGAGCCGCTTTTAGTGGGAATAATGATGATGATGGGATTTTCAAGATGGAGGAGATCCATATCCAATTTGGTAATAGGGGGGTTGGCGATAGTATCGACCTTGAGCTAGAAAGAATGCCACGGTCATATTCGCCGTGTGTATAATATGGATTTTATATGGATAGCTAATTGTAAAGATTATATACGTAGAAGCTCTGATAAATATGCCGTCCAGTTTCAGAGTTAACTTCAACTTCCCAAGGATAACGCGTAGAGTAGCTCTCGAAAACTTCATCCATCACTTAGGTATGTACGGAAACAACAAGGTTGTGAGTGGCTAAGTTAGATTTCTACGTAAATAATCTATCCTCAATATTCATTATGCTTCTGTGATTGGATATATTTATTATGTACTTGGGAGTCATGGCAGCCTATAAGCATTATGAATCGGTATGTTGTTAGTTGGCATACGATGCTGCTTTGGTTCTGCCTCCAGGCAACCTCCCTTGGTTATCACACCCTAACTAACCATGGCAACTTGAATTCCTAAACGCACCCTATAGGTGTGATGGTATAGCTAAGAGCTGATTATTTGCAGATGGTACGTGAGACGGCTATTGTTCCACGTATGCATGCCCAGTTTATTAACACTGAGTCCTCCTTGATACAACTGACTGTTGATGTTGGAGTTGTAGTTGAACGGACCGGGTCGAGATGCTCTAACCAAGTGGTGATGGTTGTATAATCTAATAATGACAGTGGTAACGCCGCCCAATGCAGATGAATGGTATCTTAACTCATTATCGCTTGCAGTTCACTACTACACCATAAACGATTCTCCGCAGCCGCATTCCTCCTCTATGCATAGGTTAGCATCATCTAGTCATATTTATCAACAAGGATAAGTGCTATATGAGAGGGACTTACTTATGTTTGGATTCCGGAATATGAACCGCTGGCTCAGCTTATCCTCAATCCAATCCATTTCGCTCCCTATTATGCTAAAGAGCGCCTTGCTATCGATCAAGACCTTTACTCCATCTTGCTCGACCTCCTCGTCAAAGGCGCCGGGCTTGTCCACGTAGTCTAAATGATAGGATAGACCGCTACATCCCCTATTGCGCACGCCCACCTTGATCAACTTTGGCTCTGGTTGGTCTAGCAAGCCTCGAAGATGTTCTACCGCTGAAGGAGTAAGCTTTAACGCGGCTTTGCGTGGTCTGAGCTTGCGTTCGCGTTTCGGAGGGGCTGGCTTCGGCTTCTGCGCCTCCTGTTCTGTGAAGGCAACATCAGGATGTGTAACTGCTTCTGGCTGAGGTGGTGGTCGAGTCTCGTGAACGTTTGGTATGGGACTGGCGATGGAGGTTTCTGGTATAGGTTCGTTGCGCGGTTGCGACGATCTACTCGGGTTTGCATTTAGGGGATAGGGGTGGTATGATGGCGTTTCTTGGAGCTTTTCTGAAGGCGCATACCATGGTTGATAATTCGAGAACTGTCGTAAGAGGCTTTCGCAAGGGAGTAATCTTGGGGCTGATGTGGCAATGCGACGACCGGACAAGGTTGTCCAAGTTCGTGATAACGCTATGCGAGGGGAATTCATCATGTTACGGCAGACAATGCGCCCATAAATTCCTAATGAGAGGAAAGTAGTGAATTAGATGGTAGGTTCGATAAGTGGTTATAAGACATGTATCTTGTAATAAATTGTATGTAGGTATGTAAATATGTAAATTGATATTGATTTGCAAGCATCTTTAGAGTCGGACGTCTGATGACATCGGTCGATAAGGTTTGCGACCCGGCTCTGACCGGACCAATAAAGGGTCTTCTATTGGTCAACTGCACTAAATTTACCGGTCTGATGGAATTACTAATGGAATAAGGCTTTTCCGACGGCAAGGAATTGTCTTAGGTATTGTACCTACGGATTACTGATTTATGCACCTTACATACCTACATATGTACACTAGTACATAGCTACGCATGTGAATGCATACTGCAAGGGGTTGACAGTCCAAATATGTACAGTGCGGGAAACATAGTAAACTTTTCAATTTAACACAGTACAACACAATTAGGTACATGCCCAGACAAATGGTGTCGCATGGACATGGCCTCCATTGTCATTTCTCAATGATTGCGACGCGACACCTCGAGTTGGCGATTTATCGATTTACCCATTTAGCATATAGTTGCAACTGGCACAAAGAAAGACCCTCTTAAGAGCCACTCTTATAACACGCGACTCGCAACGGTATAAGCCAAGCACTACTGCGATGATACCACCTATATCTATGGTATAATATAAACTGCGTTCATGTGTCGCCCGTTCATGTATCGTCATCGGTCATGGAAGTCTCGCCCTTAACCCAACAGGCCCGACCTGAAACCTTCCAACCGAAAGTAGACCAGTTGTACGAGGCGTTATTCAAGGTTCGAGAGCTTCGGATTTCCTTTTGATCTTAGGATTGGGCAAAAAGCTGACAATGGGAATTCAAGGTATGTCGGCCTGCTCTAGAAACCATCTTGCCTACCTAGCCTCCGCTTAGTCGCTGACTCTTCTATCACTTGAGTAGGATGATATCGATACGGACGGAGAGAAAGCCGAGGGCTTCTGGCGAGAGTTCTTCCTCCTAAAGCCCGACCGGCCCTTCCTACAACAAATTCTAGCTGCTCTAGCACCCGACGACCTGATAAACCTCCAGTCTCAAACCCGACAGCTCTTCTTCAGGGCTGTGGAATGCTTGAAGAAAGGAAATGGTGTGGCCGACCTGCATGCTCTTGAGGTAAATAAAAATAATTAAACCGAGTTCCAAAATACGGTTCAAAGAATATATCTCTAACCACTTGCATAAACAGACCTTAACGACCTTCTTCTCTACTATTCTTCCTAAGAAATATACGAACCCGAGCTCGGATATCATAGCTGTGCTAGCGGGCCTAGATCAGGTTGATGCCGTCTTCACCGATTTTGTAGGGGCTCTGGATGGGGTAATTCGTAATGGTAAATCAAGTAGGCTGATATCCTGCTTCATGATCTAGGCGAGGAATATGCTGATAGCGATGGGAATACAGTGGAAGTTCGGCAAAAAGCCGTGGATGTTGTCTTATCCATCACCTCGGGTGCATACCAGACAAGTATTCTGACATATTTCATACAGCGGGATCTCTTCCCCGCCATAATGAAGGTTGGTCTTTTTTCCACCGTGAGTTAGGACCCGAGACTGACGTAGCCAAGCTCATTCAAGACTCGGAGTCTCCCGAAAAGGTCTTGGAACCGTTTACTTTATTGGGCCTATTGGCAAATTACAACAAATTTGAATTTCAGAACCCCTACCAACTACGGCTCAATGATTTTGTTAATGAGGCTGCTATACGGAAAATCGTTCGATGTGTCGGGCACACTTGTCGAAGTTTAAGAAGTCAATACGTTGATATTTTACAGGATTTACCTGAAGGGTGGTCCATCAGTAATACTCTAACCATGATCGGACTTGGTGCCATTACTCCTGGCGCGAAGGCACACCAGAAACCAGCATACGACCCTGAAGTAGCCAAGCAGATGTTCGCAAAATTGTAAGATGGCATCCTATTTACTCCAAGGCCTCGGCTAACCTACCTATCTAGGCCTGGCGAAGATGCTGCCGTGCTACTAGGGGCATACGACTTCAGCCATGCGAATAAGCTATTTTGCTTCACCCTTGTCACATTACCTGCTGAAAAGGGAGAAGAGCAACCTATTTCCGGCTTCCTATCACTGACCTCTTACCTCCTTCAGCATGCCTTCCTCTCTACTAGGGCCACAAACTATGCTCATCTCAGTCTCATGGTTTTCCGGCTTCTTATTGAGGACCAGCTGCTATGTAAGCGAATATGTAGCGATGAGAGTAAAGTCGCCGTCAGACTCTGTCGTCAACGGCAACCATTCCTGCCAGCTGTTCGGGGAGAGCGCATCTTAGCGACGAGCGTTCTAGACACCATGATAGATGGCATCAACCATAATTTGCGTCGCAGACTCGATGTCAGCCTCTATACCTTGTGTGTCGGTATCATGCTGCGTATCATCTCATACCTCTCGCGGTCACGGACAAGATTGCAATACCATTGGTCTGAGCTGTTTCGCTCTCTGCTGTCCCTTATCCGTTTCCTTACTACTTATGCCTCTGATCTCAAGGGGCTTTCCCATTACGAATCCCTCTTAGACCTGGTCGTGAACCTATTAGCTCTTTCCCTCTCCGCAGGTGAAGCCTTTCTTCCTACGCCTGCTGCCTATGACGACCTATTCTACAAAGTTGTTGAGAGTGGTGAGATCCTAGCAAAATTCCGCGACACCTACCGCCTATCAAGCCGACCATCGAATTCAATAGGCACGCTTATTAGCGTGAGTACGCACTATAAGACCATGTTGGACTCGGATAGTTCCAAAAAGAACCTTACTAGTACTGAGGTAGCGGAAGTGATCAAGCAGGGCTACGAGACGTTGAGTATCCAGGCAAGGGAAGGGCTTGACGGCTGGGAGAGGTATCGTGAAGCCGATGAACGGACACTTCTTAAGAAGATGGCACGAGCAACGGTGACAGATGTTCAGGTCATCGTCCAAGCCTAAGTCGTATAGGTAGGATGATTAGACTAAGATGTGGATCAGAATGTGTTTATGCAAGATTAGAAATGAGAAGCCATATATGTTGGTGTCCAGTGTAAGACACTACATGAGTCATAGAGAGTCGTGGTGTTTGTCTGAAAAAGACATAAGAAACCGTGATTGGAATTCGGCGAATGGGTTTGGTACCGTGAAAGGACTCTTGATTTTGTGGGCGAGCTATGACCAACAACATCATGACAATAATATTAATCAGGTCGTAGGACTTTACAAGAGATCCAACCTTCAACGGACAGTGAAACCGTGGGGGTGATAGAATAGGGTAGTATCGCTAAGGTTCCATCACAGCCTGCATAGAGTAACGATGAACTACTAATAGTGCGAGAAGATATGTACACATCTGGAATTTGACATGATGATGAGCCAAACTTCTACCAGTAGTCGTATAAAGGCCGGGGATTTTAGTTTCTATTGATTTCCTAACCCCTTTCGTTTTCTGCACTGTCGTTGAAGGTCAACTTTGGAACCGCGTGTGCTAGCCCCCCCGCCAATAGCTCTGTGCTACCCTATAGAAGACGTCTAGGTTATTGGATTCCTAATGTAGGCAGCTAAATAACTTAGCTGGGTGGGCTGTTTTCATGCTTATGCTCGAGGTAGGATCGCATATCATTGGTCTTCCCTTGACACATTGTTCTTATTCGCGAACCTAAGCTTCCAGTTTCGTGGATCGCCATACGTTATTGCTACACTTTATTAGTCATATGAGGATGAAGCTCTACAAAGCATTAGTACCTACGATACCTACCCGTTAGAATCTATAAGGCATGTCTACCTATGTTCCGCCCTTAGCGACTCCCGGCAACGACTACGCCCGACTATTATGGACATTTGAATACCAAATCGCGCCAATTTCGGTGTCCTTTGGCGTCCCTTCATCGGCGTAAGTCTACAGATCCGCATTGTTATCTGCGAGAATGCTACGCTATGTAAATCTAGGGAATAGAGACAACCGCACGCAACATGTAACCATAATTATTCGTGCTTGCTAATGCCGTTTGAAGCACCAAGAATTTCCCCATCCTATCTTCCCATGCTAATCGGCTACTCTCCTATCTCCCATACCCTCCAGCACATAACCTATTAGATGCGAGATACGAGTTGCCTTCTCGTAGCTTGGAGAAACTTCCATGTAACCTCTACGCTCGACTCTGACTAGGTGACGCGATGATGGTCTAGTGGTTATGAGAACGATGTGTGATATCATCCGTCTATAAGGAGCAGTGTTTTGTTCGGGTGTATAAAGCCAAAGGGTAGTAGTCTATTATAACAAATCTTGCAGGTCTGCAAACCACTCTTTGGCTACATCCGAGTTAATTATAATATAAACATCCATCTCCACAGGTATGTGCGAATGCTTACTACTTATACCCGGGACCCGTCCTAAATCCTTCGCTAGAACATCACCATGTGCGACTGGGAACGAACGCTCTGCTCCAACTGCAACCGCGTAATTCAGGACAAATGCATCGCCCCCTGTCTGGACGATTACCACGCAGTATATACCGACGGAGCGAATGTGCAGATTGTTTATAGGAAATGCGGGCCTTGTAGCAGACCTACACCTCCGCCGTGATATCATATTGACGAAACTTACGCGATAAGATTGGATAAACCCTTTGGAGTACGGGAGCGGATGAAGCAGCGTGACTACAAGCAGCATCCAATATCTGGACCATCGTCCGGAACACAGCCAGTTCCTCTGCGAAGATTGTGCTTCATCGTGGTTAGGGTAGATGTGTTGGCGGTAGTCAGTGGTTGGCTAGCATGTTGGGCGCTACATCTTGTGTGGCTGCTGCTAAATGGTGTGCTGTTTCTAATGGCTAACATGCCCATCGTGTCAACTTTCCTTTATAATCTTTACTAGTTAAGTAGTTTGGAGTCTATGGTGCACATAGCCACTTTCGACTAGCTATTCTAACTTAGGCACAACATCTGAGTTACATGTGTACTATAAGATGGGAAGAGGGTTAATATACTTCTACAGGAGCTCGGAGTAGTCTTGGCTGCTCCTATTAGGGATTACTTTGATCCCGTCCAATAACCGGCTGTTGAATGTCAAGATACCTATGTTCCTCGTTCTTTTCTGATATATGATCTTGAATCTTTCATAACTTCTGATTTGAGGATAAGGAGATGGCTACCTAATATGCTGTCTCTGACTCTTGATTTCCAAACACACCGCTTGTATTTATAACATGATATATATTATACCCCTTAGTGACGAGTAAGTATACATCTAGTTAACGTTGCGGGGGTCAATACTACCTTTCAAGTTGCGTAACGTACCCACCGCGTAAGCTATTGTCGATCGTCAGCAGCTAGTCGGGCATATCTGTCAGCCTGATCGCTAAGCTTTCAAAACTGTCCATGTTAGGTAAATGTTAAACTTGCTTTGGGAATTTATTACATACAGACGGAGGGGTACGGGTATAAGTATCTAATGAAGACGATCAGACTACCGCATCTACTCTTAACTTGTTCCTTACTATCTTCCAAAGTTGGTCGATGACCAACTTCTCTGTAACATCAGGAAGTTGTCTAGAGGTTCGTTCTCTTTTGTAGAACTTTGGAGAGGGACAATATTTTCATATGTTTAACATTTTGTATCAAGATATCTAGTAAGGTAGTATTACGGGTTATCCGGACAATTTCCAATTACTCATAGTCCAAACCTGACCACTAACAATTCCAACTCATGCCTCACGTATAAAATTTCCTAGGCCAGATATTCATTGCGGTCTTCAGGCCCTCTGCCACTGGGAGACCAGCGTGGACAGTTCGCTCGTCTCCTGTGCCATTTCGAAGCAAATTAACCCAGAACAGCGCGTTTCCAGCTACAGGTTTGAAAGCTAAGCCACCTTCCTCATGGTTCCTCCAAAGCCGCTGGCCCTTCTCATGTGCCTTCGTTAACGCAGTCGTGTTCACAAATGGGAACCATGTCTCACCGCCCGTGCACTGATCCTCTAGAATAGCAAAGAAACTGGCGATGCGATTCCAGCTCTTTCCCCGCCCTAGCATACCCCGCCGCGTTGGCTGCGGCCGATCGTACCAGTCGTGGTGTCTGTTGAAGCGCTGGCCTGCAGTGTAGCGTACAAGTTGTGGCGGGCCAATGTCGTCTCGGGAAGGGTCTAGCATTGTACCGAGGAAACCTTCGGCACGAGCCAGCACACATTGTACCGCAGGGTTGTCGCGTGGTAGACCAGCAGACGACGAGGTCCGATCTTGTGTACCCTGATTATGGCCGCTTTTATAGACTTGAGAGGGAGTGAACGCGGAGTACCCGGCTTCGAGCAGAGCCTTTATCTCGGTCGGAGCGAGGAAAGACTCAATGTAGATAACAAGGGGATCGAGAGAGATGATTTCGGTCGTGTAATGGTGGGGAAGACAACTGAAGGATGATGTAACTGGTTCGATGTCTTGACTAAACATCTTAGAAACCAGCGAGGAGCGTGAGGCTAGATACAGATATATCGAAATAATAGATGGGGATACGATTTGATAGATGATCGGTGCTAACAGGGCGACTATGGCGACAGCCAATGCCACAATACCCGAAGGTCGAGATACCGGGGCCATGGTAGTTGGCAACTAACGTAATATATTTTCAAGATAGTCGACGCTACAATAGTGCAACTTACATTGATGCAATTTTCAAACATACTCTGGTTCGGCTGGTGAGAATTATAAGTCAACCGCGAGCTAGAAGAAGTGGACGACTCTCCGAGCTACCATAAGTAGGTTTCTACAACACACGACCCCCTCGACGTTTTCGGAGTTCCTTGTTCCGATCGAATCCTCTACACAGCTATTGAAGCTGGCCATTGCCGGTGGCATGAGTGGTGACACCGCATGTAGGCTGAAAAGCCTGGATTCTCCGAAATGGAGGAGCGCGACCCATTGGAGAACTAAGTACAAAACTGGTTACCCAATGTGACATATCAACCCGTGCCCATGCCGGGATGGAACATTTACGAACGTCAACCTACCTATGAGAATTTAATCGCTGACACTAATTATCAAGGGTGTGCCAACCACGAGAACCAAATTCATACTACCGGTATATGTGACTAACTATATAAAAGATAAATAACAATGCCAATACTATTATATCCTCGATGCAATAAAGATTTTCTGGAAGAGAACTTATATAAAACTTTTCATCTTGTTATTGGAGGTTATAGAAAGAGAAATTACATACGGCAAGGCTACTACGAACTTATAAACTATCATCTATACAATACATATTGCTTAGAAAAATGATGGTATTGTTCTATAACTCTTGGTTAACTTCGACGAGTTATAGATAGGCCTTTACGAATACCACGATTAGGTTGCGGTAGAATTATAACATGCATAAATTTTAAGAGGTAGTTAGTAGTTATAAGGAAACAACATCTTGGTTAAAGCTTCACCCGAGGCGTAATATATACATACCTACGAAGGGCGGTATGACCGTCGCTACCACCTAATGCGAATTAGAAAACAAGGACAAAAAGAAAAAAGGGAGTCAAGCAAAAGATGAATTATGTCTCTCGATCGGGGAATTGAACCCCGGCCACCTGCGTACATACAGACTAAGAGAATGACAAGCAGGTATCCTAACCACTAGACGAATCGAGATTTTTCAACATCTCAAATGTTGAAGACGCTAGTTAGCGTTAAGTGGAGATGGTATACCATCTTTCTTATTTTAGGTAATTAGATAAATGTTTGGAATTAGAAGCTGGGTGGACTGTGGAGTGTTGTTCTACTAGCTTAATCAGAGAAGCGTATCGTGAGTGTCTTGTATGATGTATCTTGGTCAACATGGGCTTATAGGAAAGACAATGCCGTTATCAAATCACGTCCGTATACCAAGTATGTTTTTACGTATTTTTTTTTTTTTTTTTTTTTTTTTTTTTTTAGTTTCTCAGAACTGAATTCTTATCCTCCAAGTTCTTTTGTTTTCATCACCAATTTCATTCCTGACATTTATAGACTCTTCATGAGTGACCGTAACTTTATACAATGTGAAGCTCTTCTGGATAGAGTCCATTTAGACTATTATTGTCTATCACTTTTACCTCCTTACGAATCGCCGGGTACAATAAATACCACCAAACTTTCCGATCACGTTTCGCCATCGTCAGGCAATACTTGATTGATGCATCTACACATAAATATTAATGAAAAGGGGCACAACTTTCGATGCGCCAAGGACTGTGCTCAAAATAAGAATTGTCATACCAAATACAGCTCCACATTATATTGAATATTACATGGAAACATCCTGGGCGTCCTGGGCGTCTTGGACTTGGGCATCCCATCAAGATCTAGGCGCATGCGGGTTGCTAACTTCGTGAACACACCAACAGCTGCAAATCTCTCAGAATGTCGGGGTGTGAGGTGGACCCTCAGCTACTTCTGCTGCGTCGGCAGTATATGCAGCTGTTTGAGCACGACTTTCTCGCTTGGCCACCAGCCAAGTTTCTCAAGAACGAAGATGTACAAAAATGGTTATATAAATACCTATTCGACGAAAGCAGAAATTCAAGGCTGCCGCCTGAGAGTTATCGAGTGCGGGTCTTGAAGAAACTCGTCACAAAGGTTGAGGAAGTAATAGCGGATTCAGAGCAAGGTGTAGGTTTCTCCATCTAATCATTTAGTTTCCCCGAGATTCATTGGACGCGAGCTAAACTTTACCAGGAAGTCTCTAAAGAGCTTGCGGCATGTCTTGAGTCCTTCGTGACTAGAGGAGTCTCGTCAGAATTCCAGGCAGCTCAGGAGGAAGCATATGTGACATTCACTTGCCTACCAGAGAAGTATAATCCAGACGATAACCATGACTGCCACTCGGAACCTACAATCACACTACTAGAACGGCGACACTTGGTATCAGGTTCGCAAATAACGGGTTTCCGTACCTGGGAAGGATCTCTTCATCTAGGCTCGTACTTCCTAACTGATGCTGGGTCGCGAATTGTCCGCGGAAAGAGCATCTTGGAGCTTGGCGCTGGCGCTGGGTTTCTCAGTATCCTCTTGGCTAGGCATTTACACGCAAATCATGTCACTACTACAGACGGCGATGAAGCAGTCGTCGAAGCCGTGAAGGAAAATTTCGCACTGAATGGCCTTGCTGACCAAGAGAAAGTCCGAACGGGAACTTTGACATGGGGCCGCAACCCTTGGGAGACGTGGATCAAAGACGATTGTGACACTAATCCATATGACATCGTAATCGGCGCCGATATTGTAAGGATCGCATTTGATTTAGTACACTATAAGTATGGGATGCTAATATATTATATAGACATATGACAAAATAGCAATATCGGCGCTGGTATCGACATTGCATCAACTCATTGATAAAAGCCCGAAGCTTAGAGTTGTTATAGCTGGTGTCGTCCGGAATGCTGAAACCTTTCAAAAATTCAGAGATGAATGTGGTATGTCTGTATATTCTTCTGTATAAACGTAGATTCAGTAACGCTGACGAGGCACACCCATAGCCCAGCACCGCTTCACCGTTGAAGATATCAAGTTCGAACCTAAGCCGATACGTCAACAAAAATCACTCTTCTATGCGGCGGCTATGCCCATCAAAATATTATCCATTGCTGGACCTGGTTAAGCTGCCAGGACTCATATAAGCCTGTGTTTGTAGGACTTAGTCTTGACCTAAACGAGGTATCTGTATTGGCAGCTATTCCTCGGGGCAGTGTATATAGGGCGAAGTAAGAGACACTATATCCCACAACCAGAGGCTTTAGATGGTAATCCAATGGTATAGATCATGTTTAGGTAACTATAGTTCCGCCATGATGCAAAGTGAAGTGAATAAATCAGTTTAAACATCAGCTCTTGGCTTCGGGTTACTTGTGTACACAATGCAGGCCAAGAAGATATCAGGATATGATCTGTATCGCCTTAGGTATGCAGAGATTTCATTTGTATACAAAAGTCTTCACTCTCGTATTCTAGCCATTCCGTATAATTAAGCTAGAATAGCATACATTAATACCGAAGCTACAGTCCAGAGCCCAAAACTCCATATATCAACACTACTTCTAGCGATACTAGCTGCGGTACTACTTCCAGTTTCCGAAGCACCCCCTCCAGTGCTCGTCGCAGATGGGGAGGGCGAAGAAGAATTACCTTGGCCGTTCCCACCATCATCCTCGTCGCCGAAAAACTCGGGAAATAGCTGAGTCGAGTTTTTATCTTTGATGATGCCGTTTATGATGACAGCAGTGCCGTTCAGCACACTCTCGATCTGTTCCTCGGTACACGTAGACGTGTCGTATATAAAACAGAAGTGTAAATGGTCCGGGGGGTCCTCATTCTTAATCGCCCAAGTATCATCCGGCCCCTCGGTGGCATACTCGGTAGTTCCGACAAGATCGACGGTGCCAGTCGCGATGTCCTTGTTAAACAGGGCGCGATAGAACATTTTGTATGCCGTTTCGGGCTGGTACGCCGGAACTTCGTGGCCTGCCTCGTACACACGCGAGAAGGAGAAGTTGCCGTATTGCCGGACTTGTCCTCCAATGTATGTATCGTTGATGATGATATCCGTGTACCCTGCATCATGGAACTTCTTAGTGTTCGTGTAGTTCACGGCTAGACTGACGGCTTCGCCACCGATCCAATTACACGCGAAGTCTCGGTCACCATACATCAGATGCACTTTGATCCCGTTTTCAAGTAGAAAAGCAATGTCTTCAACCCATCCCGGCCGGGGATAGTCACCAATTGCCCTGAAAGCGTAGGCGACGGCGTTCGAGGACTGGGTAAAATTGAGGGGAATTCCAAGCGCTTTTTGAACATGCGGTTGGTTAAGGTAGAGATTGTAGAACGGAGCCGGGAACGGATTAGGATCAATTGAGGCGTAATCGTAATAGTTACGTCCCGAGTAGTCGAGGTAAGGATCGCGGACATAGCTGGAGCAAAATGTCTCGGCGTCTGAACACACCTTGTTAACGGTATTGTTGATCCCGATGTTGTCGGGATCGTATTCAAGGGCCAGGGCTCTGCAGTCGTTGATCTGGTCGCGACAGCCGCCAGGTCTCTCGAGAGCGTCTACCATCTGTAGATAAATAGTCTCATTGACGGTCTCAAGACCGTAGGTATTATTAAACGCGATGTGAGGATATGCGGGCCATTGTATTTGACGATCGATGCACGAGTTGATGAGTATCAGAGTGTCGAGGTTAATGATATAGTTCTCGCCATCATCATCATTCCATGTGCCGTTCTCAATCTTCTGGTTCTGCTCCTCAAAAAAGGCGGCAAACTCTGGACCATACCGACCACCGTAGGACTCGGTGGCAATGCTTACCCTCGAGTCTTTCGGATGATATCCCGGAAACTCCTGAAACCAGGTCTGAGCGAAGTGCCAGAAAGCAATGGCGGCGTTACGAGTGCCCTTGGCAGTTTGATTTCTGCTCAGACTTGGATATGTGCCGACTAGGAGAGTAGTATTCTGTTCGGGAATTGTATCAGTCTCATTGATCTTAAATATCTGTCCAGTAACTAGGTTCTCGGTGATATTTTGCAATGTGTCATATGACAAGCCCACTTGAGTCGGCTGGTCAATGAATAGCATGTTAACTTCAACGGATTAGCCTTTATCTTTATATTCACACGATTGACTAATATGAGGGGAAGGTTGGCTTATTAGGCTCACCGTCGGTATTCCATGCCCACTCGCTCAAAATAGTCGAGTTAGAGTCAGAATTGACATAGCAAGGACCATTCTCGGTAAAGAGCCCGTATAACGAGCTGGACCCAGGGCCACCATTAAGCCATATGGACAGAGGCGCATTCTCGGGATCATTTCGCGCTTCGAAGAACCAGAAAAATGTATTGATGGGGTATTCCTGCTCCTCTCCAAGGTCTGCCAGCGTACCTGGAGGAAGATAAATATATCCAGCATAGGATTTTACCCCTGGTGTCGTTTCGCAAATGCCGGGCTTTTAAAGGAGGTTAAGTTCAAATTTCGAAATTGCAATCATATCTAGATCTACCTAAGGTATATATATACTCACTTCCTTGTAACTTATCGTAACGCCGTCACCGAATTTAGATTTGAGAACAGTAACATCTTCGGGAGTTGGTGGAAACTGGGCGTGAGCAAACGGGATCAGCGCTAAGAGGCCAATGGCCGTACGAAGGCCTACTGCCAACATGGTGAGCGAGGTCGAAAAATGTATATTCTTGCAGAGGAATCCTAGGGCAACCGGGTGCCATACCTTATCTCTTATATATTTACTTTTTCGTTTATGACTTGGCGTGTTCCCCGCATCCCGCCGTCGATAAACGATTGCATAGATGATTGCATCGCCTACAACCCTGTTAGCTGGCTGCATAAATAAGGCTACTTATACGGCGAGGTAACGATCCGGGGTAGACAGAACCGAACGTGGTAGACCCAGCCGTATAGGACCGCATATAAGAGACCCAATGAGGCTGGAGGCTCGCCTCAGCGGACGTGCATATTGCACGATTCGATAGTAACACAATTGGGGAAGGTTACAGTAGAGTTGGATATCGACTTGGGGGGGTTTTTTTCCCCCTACAAGAGCTACCCCGTCAATGAATGGAATCTAGAAGGCTGGCATTTTTGGAGAACCTGGCACGGACGCTTTGAACCCCGCAGATAATTGATATTAGGCCAAGGAGAACGAGGTGAGACTTAGGTAGGGGGCTTCGAACTCGATAGATTACATATACGGCAAGGTACGACGTTACGTAAATCCAAGATGACGGGATTAATATGTCTAGGATTTAAAAGAATTTCTTTTATGCTATTAGTTATATCAAGCTACGTTTATCGAGCTTGCGTACTATGCCGTGGCATCTTCATGAACAACGAAGCATTCTAAGGAATTAAATAAAGTACTGTCTAATATGGGCAAACCCTTAAGACACTACTACAACGCTATGTAAACCTCCATGATAATTACAACTATTAATAGGTCTACACGCCTGTAAACGGCGTAGCTATCCAACCATCTCGTGATAGACCTTGAAGCACAATGCCTTGAATGAAAGAATGGCTTCTTTTGTCTTCGCTTGTAGTCATACTTGACCGGGCCTCTCTTAAATAACATAGCCCTAGTCTAGTAAATTGCTTCTTCTCTAACTCGGATCGAGTTCGCTGCTCTTCTCTTCCGCCCAATAAATAGTGCGGCTATCCAAATAACGCCAACCCAATGACACGAGAAACCCGAATAACCCGCTCCTTTTGGCTTTCCATGGCTGCTATACCGTGAGCGAACCATATACACATCCGAGATCCTCCTGAACAGGTGATGCTTTTTCTATGGCAAACCCAAACCCATCATACTACCTAAGGTACCCAAGCAAGTAACCTTAATGCTTCACAATACCCCAGCTAACAAAACACGACAGATACTCCGCGCTACGCAATAATGAAAACTATGCATCACTATTTCCCCCTCTAGATAGCCCAGCTTCCTCTCCTAGCCCGGACACCCCAGGCCATCTCGCCAGTCCCGGAGTCATTGAGACCAGGGTGCTGGCGTGCCCACTCGCGTATGTAAAGCTTCAGAGCGATCCAACGAGGTGGCTTCGCTCTCCTGCGAGTTCTTCTCTCGTCCTCTTCAGGCGTACGCAGTGGCGTCTCCTCGCCGCTATCGGAGTCGGTCATCGAACTACCCTTTGGGACGCTCATCTCCATCTGTAGCATGAACCCCTTCTCGATTTTTATGTGGTCATCCTTGCGCAATTCCACGATGTCGATACCACTGATCTTACTCAGTTCACCATCAAAGGCACGCGCGGTAGCGGGATATCCGAGACTGAGATAGTTGTAAACTTGTGTAACGAAGGCGTCGTCAAACTCGACCGCGATGCGCTCCTCGAATTCCTTACGTGCCTTCGCCTTTTTCAGCCGTTCATCCAATCCCGAGAGCATATGAAAGCTCCTGCCTGTCGGGGACGTAGCCCCGGGCGACTGTGCACCGCTTATGACACCACTTATACTCATAGATGCGGAAAAGGCGGCGGAGAAGGGGTCATGGGGAGTATTTTGCTCCTGAGGCGTCATAAGGAGATGGGGTCCTGGGTGTGTCATGTCTACAGCGTCATTGGCCTTGGCAGAACAGTAGCCACGCCATAGCCCTGTAGCCCCTGTGGCATCTCGCCGCTCAGGCTTCTCAAGGTTGCAATATTGGTGACTAGGTTCCATACGTGTCGACTTTGGGCTGGGGCACATGCGGAACTGTAGACCACCACCGAGCATAGGCGGCGAGGCAGCTATGCGCATCTTTCGCATCTGGGGGTCTTCTGGTTCATTATTACGGAAGGCAAAAGGGATGCCGAATGGGCTCGCGCGGAAGCCAGGTTCCGGTGGGAGGACCACGGGCGAGGCCGCACGAGGATGCGAATCTACCCTGGCAAGCAAGGCCGGCGAATGCGCATTTATTATTGGGCTTGGAGCATCTCTCATATTTTCATCAAGAGATGTCCGGAACGCGGACGTCGTCCATAAGGGGTCTGCCGGAGGAGGAGGTATATCAACGTGATCCAACTCTTCGTCAATGTTCATCCTCTCTTGCTTGATCTGAGCTAGCTTTTCGGCATGGGCTCGCATTTCCTTGACGGCCCAGCCCGGGTCCGACTCCTTGCGTCGTAGAAGCTGTGAGGTTCCATGCCTTAATCGTTCATCTAAGGCGAGAGGATCGTCATCCTCGGAATTATCTCTAACGAGGAAATGTTCCACACCCTCGGGTCGTACACCGTTGGGGAATGCAGCCATAGCCGCTTCGAGCTCGCGCTGTCTGTGCGCCTCTCTAGCGGCTACCGCTAATAGATAACCCGAGAACTCCTCGTCGCACGACTCTCTCCTCTCGCGGACACGGTAGCGTCCGCTACTCCACGAATCACCAACGACATCGTCATCATCTTGTTCCGGGATTCCATTATAAAGAGCCGGGATCCCGATGTTGATCGCTGGTGCATCCTCCTCCTCATCGTCGTTTTCCTCAGAAGACTTATCTGACTCGGATGATAGTATAGTATCGAGATCGGGAGTATATGATTGTCGAGTGCTTCTTCGAGTATTTGGATGCGGCTTCATGGACTGCTGCCGACGTGGTGTTAGATAACCATCACCATCGCCGGCAGCATTCGATGTACCGGAAATGGCAGATCGGGGTGCAGCTTTTCGCTTTGGCTTCGGAGCATAGATATGATTTGTACCTGGCGTGATATCCGTCTTATCTATTGGTTTGGTGGCGGGGCCTGGCTGATCTGCCTTTTTGGATCTTCTTGTCGTCTCAATCAATTGCGGGGCAAACTTTCTCTTGGGTTTCTTTTGCTTTTGCAATTGTTTGGATTGCCTTTGATCTTCTTTGTTTTCTCCACCTACTAGAAACGCCGGTGCGTATGGTGATGTTGGCGAAGGGTCTGGTGTCAATTCCGCAGTAGGACCGACGGGATTCTTCCTATTATTACTGTTGTTCACCCTGTACGAGTCGAATGTCGTCTCAATTGGAACCGGAACAAAGCGCCGAATGGGTCTGACTGGTGGCGCATCCAGCATTTCAATGTCGCTCACTTGGACTGAAGCATCCCTCGTAGGTCGCCTAGTCGAATTGACCGTCGAATCCGGGGGTGTCAATATTAAGGGCTTTAGAGGAAGGTCTAGTCTTTTGTTTGCTGACGACTTAACCGACTCCTCAACGAGCTGGGGAGCAAACCGACGGCGAGGTTTTGCCGCGGGTGAGGGTGCGGGCTGACTTGCTACAGGAGGGACCTCGGAAATTGAAGCATCACGCATCGGTTCGTCTTCGCCGGACGCCATTTCTAAGCTATCTTCCGGTTGCCGGTGATCACACGACACAGATAGCAATCCGGAATAAAGCAACAATGTGAAGGTATCCGAGTCACCGGAATCATGTGTAGCCAGCAGCCAGCAGCCAGTAGCCAGTGGCCAGTAGCGGGTAGTAGTGGCAAGGTAATAGCGAGAGAAATAAAGGAAATGCGGCAAAATGAATTACATATAATTTCCAACGTCAACGTTATCGACCGAATAAGGAGAAGAATGAAAGGAGAGGAATAATACTAGTAATGCTAGGAACACTAGGAACCCTAGGAATACTAGGAATAATGGTTGGATCCGACCCAGAACCCGGAATCTGGTGAATCAAGTATTATTAACCCCAGCTTGTTTCTAACCCCGTGACAAAAAGATGCCATGGACCCAAGTCGACGCAAGGCCACAAACGACGCACCGCTAGTTTGCATTGAAGACTCCGCGGCCTCCTCCGGGCAGTGGGGGAAGTGGATCGTGGGTGGAGCTATGGAGTTACCAAAAAATTAGAAAGGAGAGGCCGGGAGTGGGTGGGAGAGTACATACGTAGAGGTAGGAATACCTGGAATGGTAATCATCTTAGTGGCTTTCGTGTTTGCAAACATGCATATTTCATGGTCAATGGTCAATGAAAAAGATAGCGGTTTTCTTTTAGTGGTGGTCTTTTTAGTGGTGGGTAGTGTCGGCATCGACCTAGAACGTTCTGAATCGGCCATTGGGGCTGAGTGGCTAAGGGAAAGGCATACGTATACAGTACTTGTAAAGTGCAGTTACAAATGTCATGTCGTAATGTGAGCACTATATTTAAAAAATGTACATACACTATACAAATGTTAGGTATATGTACATCTTACATCTATGTAGGTATGGAGCTGGTCCGGCTTCGCAAATTGGCAAATTGGCAAGCTGGGACGAAATTTGGGTAGAAGTAAAGAACCTTGGAACCTTCCATTGACTCTGAAAGGTAGTATTATTGCATAATAACTTTGGAAGCTTCATACATACATGCAGCTAGTCATGTACATAGTGTAGTTAGAGCTTCCCATTATTCCCATATTCCCAGATTTTCAGATTTCTAGATTTCCAGATTTCCATGTTCACGCACGCAAGAGACTGGGGGTAATTGAGCCATTTCAGGCTCCGATTCAACAGAGTCAATTAATAAAGTAAGATCAATTACACACAATACTCGTACCTTATCAGTTATGTATATGTATATATGTATATACCGGAAGAAAAGCCCCTCCTCAAACGTATGTATATGGCAGCATACTGCACTACATGGCACTTAAGGTACCATGCCATACGTGTACACCATCCCTTTTACTGACCGACAATCCGAAGGTAGGTAAGTTGGGAATGCTGCCTCTCTCTAAAAAGGAGCGGAGGAGTTGTCGAGTATCTCCTGAATGGTCTTATCTCTTAACCCCGAGAGCATGAAGTCTTACTTGACTCTGGTACGTTTCCCCGGATTTTACTGTCCGCGCAACGGGGTACATACATTCGGGATATGTAGTGTACACTGATCTAGGTTAATATGTAGCGAGTGGAATACATAAGATATCGCATCAATAGGCAGGGATGAATATATCATATAGGTAATACGTACGCGCAAGGTTCTAGCCTCTAGCCGGCGCCCGAATCTTTGGATTGGGATCGGATTGGATGGGTTAGCCGAATTTAACCCTTTGCTCCGGATGAACGATTATCGATAGATATACTACACAGTAGTAAAATCGATAAGAGCTTGAGGGAAATCGGGCGTCTCACTCAATAGTATCGAATAGTCCAACTGGTCCGTGTCCGGCTTTGCATGCACAGCAGCTCACGATACCGGCATCCGCTCAACGTGTTTTTACTTGCGCATGACCGTCCTTGTGCGGGTCCGGTATACATATATCAAATTTCTCTCAACTCCCCTTTTCCATTACTCACCGTACGAACGGACTACCGGTTACGGCTACCTTGTCGGGTTGGACCAAGGCCTGCACTCTTCCATACATGCCTCATCCGTGTATACCTAGTAAGAGATAGGATTGGACTATGTGTGCGCGTGTTTCGCTGCGTGAAGATCTTTACTACTCCGATTTCCACGGGATTTCGCGGTGTTAGTCTAGGTTTGGTTATTCTTCCGTCTCTAGCATTTCGACCCAAGAAGGGCTTCTATGTACTATATGGCTCGGGCTCTTATTTGACTGCCGGACAGGCCTTCCATCGCAGACAAACGAAGCTTGTTCTACGATCTAGCCCTGATAATATATAGGAGAAGTGCCAAGGATCGTATCTTCATTATTGGTTCTTTTAATAGTCACATTGCAGGCTACAGGACGGCCAAGTCCTCGATACTTTCACCGACTGTTCGGGACCGCCTCGTGCAGCTCCGGGGTAACATAACCCGGCAACCGCATTGGCTAGGGCCGGCGCGCTATCGTGCTCCGTGTTATGGTTACGCAAGGGAGATCTGTGGAGAGAAATGTGCAACGCCAACTCCGCGACTGTTCTTATCTTTCTTCTCCCCCTCTCCCCTCTCCCCTCTTCCCCTTCTCTGTCTTCTTTTCCTTTTACTTTTGACAATCGAAGATTTGCTACCAAGGTCGTCGCACCTTGACAGCCAGAGCCCGAGTGCGGGGTCCCCAGCTATCTGTTGGTGGTACTCTCTTTTTATAGCTAACTCCGAATACCACTACACCGACGTGTTTGGGTGGTTAGAGTATGTTTATTACCGCATGTATGTGAACAGGCAAGGTATTTTTTAGCCGTTCCGTTGACCAGCGAACGAGATTGAATGGTTGGGCACCTACAATCAAACTAGATACCTAACCTAATAGATGCGGCATTCGGAGTTCCTACCTCTTACACTACTACTCTGCGCTCTGCAGAAGTACACGGTTCGTAAGCTGGAACCTGGGGTTTCCTCTGGATGCACGTGTTTAATGTCAGAGGAACAGATGCGATGGTCATAGCTTACCGTCTTACCTTGTTGACGGTACGCAGGCATGCGGGAGATACGGTGCCTAAGATGACAGCTCGTTTGGGGAGATGAGAGTGGAGGAATACGATCTCATAATAGGGGCTGTTGGATACTTCCAAGTTGCACGATTGGGGGCTGTAAACTGTTGGGAGCCGAAACGAGTCCCTCCCCCGTGCGACTTTCTAATTTCACACGCGTACGACTGTCTTCATCGACACGGTGTCTCAATGTTGATCTTGATGGTCAAGAGCAGCAGGTTTTCGTGAGCTGACTGTCTCGGTCCGAAGCTGTTTTCGTTATTATAAATGTCTATGACGGCTGTGCGTTGAAGGCGCTTATTCTTGCAGGATGCCTGGGTAGGTAATCTGGCTGATAATCTGGCCGACCTGCATGAGAAGCGGCACGTAGCAATCACATAAGGCTGCTCAGATGTAACGGCTACTTACATACATGTATAGATACGCCAAGATATAAGATATACTTTACATGTTAATATCGATGGCCTACGTCGATAAGGCTGTATTGAAGTGGTCTTATATTATTATAGAGTCTATTATATAGTCTGGCTAACGCGGACGAGGCGGCTTTAAAATATCGCACGGGAACGAAAGGCGAGGCTCAGTATAAATTTACCTTCATGATTTTGGGTTTACGAGCCGCTTACCCATTCGCAATGTTGCGTTTCCCGCCGCCACATTCTACTGCCACAAAAGCCAGCAAAAAGCTCTGGAACACGTTCTATTCAGTGGCGTCTCATATATTGGAATATCGCACGCCATTGTACAGGAGGCCAGAATTTTAAGTCTCCTAGTGCCCAAAACGGCATCCCGTTGCTATCACAATAATCATAATCACATGCTGCATGCATGTCTTAGGTTATGCCGCACTGCTGATAAGAAGTGGCAGGGCATCGTGATATTAGGCTGTGATACCGGTAGTTGCGCTGTTTATATTAGATGTCCAACGTAATTATCGGGATGATAAGCTATTACCTACGTGGTTCGTCGTTAGATGCTATCTTGGATATCGCCCATACATATAAAAGGAAGAAGGATATGCTTTAGTCTGTCCTAAAGGCGAAAAAAATAACATAAATGCCTTACTTTCTGAGAGCTTTAAGACGTTGCTTAATATACTGAAATTCCCAGCTTAGGTTATACGATCGGCGCTTTATGTGTATAGGTAGTTACCAGATTAGTTTTAGATCTTGCAATGATCTATGTAAGGGTAAAAAGCAAGAGACTCCACATTAGGTTTGTAGTGTAATGACGTATCTTATGTTGCAGCTTGAAGATCTACATAGTATGTTGGCGTGTTATTAGCATGAAGACGGATCTTAAAGCTTGGATCGATCGGGCTCAACGGCCCCTCTTCAATGCTTTTAATAGCGAGCACAACTTCTGAAAATGTTTCCGGAGCTCTTGAGAAGTTGAGAATAGGAAAACGAGGCCCATGTAAATGTACCTAGGTACTGGACGGGATGGCACTGTACACTACGAGATGTATGTAAATGTGGGTTAAACAAGCCGCTAGAATGCCCCGTGAAGAAAGTAAAAATTTGCTCCGCTCCCTTTCGTATTCTACAAAGGCCGTTATTAAATATTTGAACTAGTCGATACGGGAATTTGTGCTACTCATATTACTTAGGTAACTAATAACAACTAGTTAGTGTATAGGCGTAAGACATGCTAGATGATTAAGGGGAAAGGGAATACTTTACTGTTTGGGTAGAGATACGTATCTTGAAAAGCCTTTTTTTATCTTCCCAGTCCGGCCCGTTGGCTATCTGCAGGTCCAGATGAACCCTGTAGGTCCATTACCTAATACAGTAAAGACCTTGTTCGCTGGCTGGGTACGGTATCCGGACCGCTAAACTTGTTACGTCGGAGTATGTCTGACAAGTAATATGTAACGACGCAGGTGGTAATCAAGGGTTTGGGGTAACTTCCTCCTAGGTATGTACAAGAGATGCCACTGGATAGAAGCCACATGGTCTCTGAATTGGCATAGGTAATCATTTATCAAACTCAAGATAAGGTCAGTTAGGTAAGTATGATAGAAACATCCATGGATATAGATAATGTATACAGGAAGGTATCCTGTGATTCCTGTCCATTCAGGCACAATAAGCAATTCTCTATCTTCCATGATCCTTGCTACTTTCTGTGCGGCATGCAGCTCTTACACATACATAGGTACTACCACCATCTGCCGTTCTCCGCCCCATATTCCCATGCGACCCGCCGAGCCGTTTTCTTTCTCTCGTCCGGTTCAATTCCTTTACGTCGCAGCGCCAGCACCGAAGAGAACGTAGAGTACACCACCCAACCGAACAAGGATGATGACCCGGTCTTAACCCCAGTGATCATGGAAAATTAATTGATTGATTGAAAAAAAATTATCGATCACTGCATCGGCGGGTTGGGATTGGATTGGAGATCTTTTTTTTTTTTTCTTAATCCCAATATTTATTTTCATTGCTTCTATTTCGTCTGGGCATTGTTCTGTCTAGGGGCAGC